AATTTAGGAAGACTTACCGCTAAGTGAAATCCGCAAAAAGAAGAGTGGGAAACAGAGCGCAAAAAAGAAGAAGATTGTGAAGAAGAAACCGCCTGTTGAGAAGGGTAGGTAGTCGCAGTTTGTTTTCTGGTAATCTGCACCCATGTGTCCAGTGGTGCTGCCTACGTTCTAGAGTTGATTATGATGCTCCCAATTTTCAAATTCATCGAGTTATTGAATACCCGATAACCCTTGCGCTATATGGTAGTACCAATCTGCATCAGCTATTTTGTTTTAGAAACCGTTGTCCGTCGAAGTGGTCGGAGTGTGGCACGTAAGGATTATTCTATGAAGCAAGAAAGTGACGATGGAAGCTCATCCAGTTCACCCCCATCAAGTGCCAGTGACAGTATACCCCTTTCGGAGAAGGAAAAATCTGAGGTATCTACATGCGAATTTTAAATTAGGGGAAATATTTGCAAATGCTTTAGGAGAATACCGAGAGTGATGATGTAGAGGAAGAAGCGGATGCTTCGTATGACAGTGACGAAAGTTTCGATGTGGTCCCTCCGAAACGAGCTAAGACAACGGGAGCGAAGCAGTCTGGGCGCAAACAGGCCACTAAGTTCGCAGAATAGGCTTGCTTCGTTTCAATACCTACGCATAATAACTACTTCGTGTTAATGCAACTTTTTCAGAGGAGGTGGTAAGGCTGGGTCGGCCAAATCTCGCAGTTCCGCTGGTTCGGGAAGTGAGTTGAGTACATCCAGATCCAAATCTTCACTCGATATTTGCAGCTGGTCGTAAATCTTCTAAAGCCCCTGCAGCTACTGCACTACCACATGCTCCGAAGCCAGTCAAGCCGTGGCAGAAGACGGGTGAACCCGCCATGGAAGGCGACATCAACGTTCCGCCTAGAAAACTTCGAAAAGGAGAGAAAAAGATGTTAAAGTACAGGTGCGTCATTATGATATAGGAGGATGATGATATAGGATGCTACTGCACAACAATGATCTCTACTTCCTCACCTCTTGCACTGTTTCGTAATTATTTCCGAAACGACCAGAAGGAAGCTT